AATAATATAATTCAATGCCCACGTTAGCTAGATACCAAGTAACAGAGATGGCTGACACAGTCTAGCTATCGGAAGCAAGTTATTATTACCAAATACCTCTGCCGAAGATGAGATTTAGTAATTTTTATGGTCTAGGCCTCTTTTGGTTTAACTTTTGTAAAGTCGAGGAAACTACAAAAAAAAACTATAAAAGTGAGAGTTTTCTATTTATTGAATAAATAAAACAACGATGAATAAACAAATGGATAACTGAATGTATAGATGAATGGATAGAGGAATCTTTCTAAGACTGCAATTTATAAAATAGTTTTTGAACAAAAGACCAAAGTGTTTGACTTTATTCTTTATTATAGCCGGTTTGAAAATGTGCCAGTAGGTTGAAGACAGCTGAGGGAGCAATTGGGAGAATTTTTCTTTAAGAGACTATAGTGACACAACTATTCATTTTCTTCATATCATAGCTATTATCATGGAAGATAAACTGAAGAGATCCCAAGAAAGAAAAAGTTGTCATGATCCTAGGTATTAATTCTTCAGTCAAGAAGTTTACCCTCACAAGGCTTCACTTATGTATATGTTTTTACAAAACTACTATTTTAAATTCCTTAGCTCCATATATGCATTACATAAGAACAAGTAACTAGATTGTGATAAGCTTGATTCTCCATACACCAGGATCATCTCCAGTCATAAATTATCAGTGGAAGCCAAATCAGCAGAGTATAATTTATTAAGCTACTGCTGTGTTAATGCAATTTCCAAAGGTGGCTGACTTACCACCTGGGATTTGATCAGCCACTAGAAGAACCTGGTTCATTTTATTCAGAAAGGCTATTTCAAACCAAAAACTTCACAGCTAACTCTCAGAGAAAAAAAGTATCCATGAATGTAATTATGTTGGGAATCTATAAAATTCTAACTCATTCATTCGCCATTCATATTGACACCTTGCTAGTGGTACAGGAAGTTGTCGGATATATAATCCTGCTGTTTTTTAAAGATGCAATGGCAGTATTGTGGGGAGGCATATTTTGCAGGAATCTTTACACCATTATGACACTACCCAATATGTTATGGCAATTGTAATACTTTGTAGACCAGTGGAAAATATATCTAAAAATAACTGTGCCATTTCTGAGCAAAAGCAGAAGTAATTGATGCTTCCTAGAAAAATGATCCCACCTGGCTTTGTAGAAGAGCAGCATGAGCATTTCAGTGACAGGTAGATCCAGAACAGAGCTTTGTCCTCAATATCATTCTGATTCTCTGAAACCCTAAAGCAAGGTTCATAGAGATTCTTTAGAATGCTCCAGTTGAAAGCCAGATTACACTATTTAAGTGGCCTATGGAGTTCTGTATTAAAGGCTCCCTGCTGCTCAGGCATCATTTTTCCCCATTATAATACATTGCTATAGATTTGACACTGGAGATGTTCTATCATTTAACTAATATGGCTCAAAAGGTTGTCATCAGGGACATCTCTAAATTGTATCCCAGCAAATAAACCTTGCAATGGAAGGATTGCTTATTTAGCAAAGACATTTTATGACATATTAGCATGAAAATACTACTCTGTCTTTCAAGTTCATCTGTAACATTGCAGCTGAGGAGAAAAAACATTAGATGTGTTACAAATACAAGTGACTTTGGCAGTAAGCTAATTTGTAAATGCGTATTTGTGAACTTTAAGTGCACTGCTATGCCCTAACTTACACCCTGCATAACTCATAGATGTTTGCATAATATAAAAAGACAAAAAATAAAATCTTATTACTCAGCTTTTCCATTTAACTCAGAGGAAATTGATAATCAACCACTAAATGTTCATCCCCTGCTATATGCGGCCTGCAAAGCAGGTGAATGAAGCAATTCAAAGTAAGGCAGCATCCAGAGGAGAGTGAAGCATTGGCTGCATGGGAAGAATGTTTGAAGGGATTATTTTTTACCCTTCCTCTGAAACCAACCAACAGTGAACAGAACGGTGAACACTAAAGCTAACAGGAGAATGAAAGCTATTTACCAAGTGTTTTCGTATCTTCTTCATCTCAGTTGAGTGTCCTTGCTTGTTGAATGCTGCAAAACATGTTAACAGCTTAGGTTTTAGTATCAGAGAAGCCAGAATTCAACGTTTATCTTAACATTATGTACTATGTGATCTTAGACAACTGGTTTTACCTGAGACTCAATTTCCTCATATTTTAATTTTGTTAATTACTCATTTTTATTTTTAATTATCATGGGTATGTAGTAGTTATATATTTATGGGGTACATGTGATGTTTTGACACAGGCATATACAGTGTGTAATCATCAAACAGGGTAAATGGAGTATCTGTCACCTTAAGCATTTATCATTTCCTTGTGTTAGGAACATTCTAATCCTACTCTTTTAGTTACTTTAAAATATACAAAAAATGATTCTTATCTGTAGTCATCCTACTATGCTACCAAATACTAGATTTTATTCATTTTATCTAACTGTGTTCCTCATATAGCTTCAGATGCGCATAACATACTGATCTTTCTAATTAAAAGAAGTTAACAGTCTTTTGAGATAGACAATACAGTTATTTTTACCAGCATTCTGAACATAGGGAAATTAAGGTTCAATGAATTTAAGAGATTTATACAAGCTACATATGTAGACAATGGCAGACTTGAGTACGGATTCCAAGATTTCTGGCTCCTGGCTTAAAGCTATTTTTATTACAATATGCAGGATTCTCAATTTGCCTAGTTTTTGCTGTATGTTCCGACCTCAGTATTGTACATATGAGTTATTTTCATTTTTAACCCAAACAAATTTTTATTTGATCCAGGTATGTTAAAAAGCAAAGAGAAAAAAACAAAGTCAAACAGCTACTTAGGTCAATCACATCTCACATCTGTTATTTTGAAAGTCTGTCCCTGATGCTCCTAAAGTGTTTCCACTTACTACAGACTCTTCCTCTGTTTTACTTCTGAACTAAAAAAATATGATCAGGCTTCTGCTTCTCTTTGGGATTCCAGTAGTGTTCTGTGATGTTAGTAAATACAGAATGAAGGAGGCCATTTGTAAGTTTAAGTCATTCATGGATTGAATATTGATTGGGCCCTAGTTTGCTCACCATATGCTTACCATAACTTTTCTATTTAATTAACATAATTATCTCAAAAAATAGATTGCAATAATAGTGATAGCAAAATATAGGTCTACAAATTAATTTATTCACTTTAAGTTGGAATTTATCAATGTCATTAGTACAATATACCATGGTATTTAAATTACGCATTTATTTTCTTTATTCTTAATCACCCCTCATTAGAAATAAACTGCAGGAACTATTGTGGTCTCTACTGTATCCCTAGTACCTAGAAAAAGCGCCTAGTTTATAAACAATTAATAAGCACTTGTTAGATAAATGAATGAATGAATAATTCCTTCAATCAAATATATCCCTCTACCTTTTTGTACTGTGATTTCCATCCATACCCCAGATGGAAATTTAAACTCCCATCTAATAACCAGCCTAACCATTTTTACATTGTATCATCTTTTTTTTAAGCGAGATGGAGTCTCCCTCTGTCACCCAGGCTGGAGTGCAGCAGAACGAACACAGTTGACTGAAGCCTCTACCTCCCGGGCTCATGTGATCCTCCTGCCTCAGACTTCCATGTAGCTGGGACCACAGGCAAGCACCACCACACCTGCCTAATTTTAAAATGTTTTGTAGAGACTGGATCTCACTCTGTTGCCCAGGCTTTTCCTTTCTCTCCTATTTAAGTGACAGTCTCACCTACGTAAAGTACAATTTTCCCTTCTGTTTCCTGTATCATCAACTTACTACATTATCTACTAAATTCTTCCCAGCTCCCTATGATAATGCATTAATATCTATCAACTTGGGAAAAAAAGCACCTTGACTTAATAGCTCCCACCAAACATATCATGATTTCTCTGCTTTCCTGACATAAATCTCTTCTGAAAGAGTTGTCCCTACTTCCTAAATCTACTTCCTCCCTTTCCATTATTTCTTACATATACCTCTAAAACTATAATTCCTCTTGTTAATGTAATCAGTGAGCTCTCCATGTTGTCAAAGCCAGTGGTCAATGTGATTGAAATACGTTCTTTACTTGACTTTTGAAATACCATTTACTCTCATTCTCCTCCTTTCCACTGTCACCTACGCATCTTCTAAACTTGAATCACTGGAATGTCCGACTCCTTAGATGTCAATGCTCTTTGCTTCCATTCTCTACTAACACCATCTAGCTAATTTCATCCAATGCCATGACTTTAAATACCATCTATATGCCAATGATTCAACTTTAATCATTATCGCTAATGTCTCTCCTTGATTTCAGGCTAATATATCCAACTGCATGCTTAAAATGTTCACTTGGATAACTGAAAGGCATTTCAAACTTAACATGCCCAAATCTAAACTTATGATTACTCTTTCACCACCCAAAACAAACACTTCCTCCAATCTACTTTGTTTGCATAAATGGTATCTCCACAATTTCAGTTATTTATGCCAGAAAACTCAGTATTCTCATAGACTCCTCTCTTTCTCTCTGCTGTGGTTTAACTGTTTGTGTCCCCTACAAAATTCATGTTGAAACTTAATCCTCAAAGCAAAAGTATTAGGAGGTAGGGTCTTTAGGAGATAATTAGGCCACTAGAGCTCTGCCCTCATGAATGCAATTAACAGCCTTATAAAAAGGCTGGAGAGAACTAGCTAGGCCCTCTTTTTATTTTTAATTTTTTTCCTTTTTTTTATTTTACTTTAGATTCTGGGGTACATGTGCAGATCATGCAGGATTGTTGCATAGGTGCACACATGGCAATGTGGTTTGCTGCCTCTATCCCCCCGTTACCTACATCTGGCATTTCTCCCCATGTTATCCCTCCCCAATCTCCCCACTCCCACTGTTCCTCCCTTGCCCCTACCAACAGACCCCAGTGTGTGATGCTCCCCTCCCTGTGTTCACGTGTTCTCATTGTTCAACACCCACCTATGAGTGAGAACATGTGGTGGTTGATTTTCTGTTCTTTTGCCATTTTGCTGAGAATGATATTTTCCAGGTTCATCCATGTCCCTACAAAGGACATGAACTCATTGTTTTTTTTATGGCTACATAGTATTCCATGGTGTATATGTGCCACATTTTCCTTGTCCAGTTTGTGGTCGATGGGCATTTGGATTGGTTCCAGGTCTTTGCTATTGTAAACAGTGCCACTATGAACATGCGTGTGCATGTGTCTTTATAATAGAATGATTTATAATCCTTTGGATATATACCCAGTAATAGGACTGCTGGGTCAAATAGAATTTCTATTTCTAGGTTATTGAGGAGGCGCCACACTGACTTCCACAATAGTTGAACTAGTTTACATTCCCACCAACAGTGTAAAAGTGTTCCTATTCCTCCACATCCTCTCCAGCACCTGTTATCTCCAGGTTTTTTAATGATTGCCATTCTAACTGCCATGAAGTAGCATCTCAATGTGGTTTTGATTTGCATTTCTCTAATAATCAGTGATGATGAGCATTTTTTATGTTTGTTGGCCTCATATATGCCTTCTTTTGAAAAGTGTCTGTTCATATCCTTCTCCCACTTTTGGATGGGTTTGTTTTTTTCTTGTAAATCTGTTTTAGTTCTTTGTAGATTCTGGATAGTAGCCCTTTGTCAGATGGGTAGATTGCAAAAATGTTTTCCCATTCTCTTGGTTGCCAGTTCACTCTAATGATTGTTTCTTTTGCTCTACAGAAGCTCTGGAGTTTAATTAGATCCCATTTGTCTATTTTGGCTTTTGTTGCCAATGCTTTTGGTGTTTTAGTCATGAAGTCCTTGCCTATGCTTATGTCCTGAATGGTTTTGCCTAGATTTTCTTCTAGGGTTTTTATGGTGTTAGGTCTTATGTTTACGTCTTTAATCCACCTGGAATTAATTTTATTGTAAGGTGTCAGGAAGGGGTCCTGTTTCTGCTTTGTACACACTATTAGCCAGTTTTTCCAACACCATTTATTGAACAGGGAATCCTTTCCCCATTGCTTGTTTTTGTCAGGTTTGTCAAATATCAGATGGTTGTAGATGTGTGGCATTGCCTCCAAGGCCTCTGTTCTGTTCCATTGGTCTATATCTCTGTTTTGGTACCAGTTCCATGCTGTTTTGATTACTGTAGCTTTGCAGTATAGTTTGAAATCAGGTAGCATGATGCCTCCGGCTAGGCCTTCTTTTGCCCTTCCATCTTCTACTTGTGAAGACACAACATTCACCCCTTCTACCATGTGAGAATGCAGCAAATAGACCCTCACCAGACATGAATGTCTGCACCTTAATCTTATATTTCCCAGCCTCCAGAATTGTAAGAAATAAATTTCTATTATATGTAAATTACTCAGTCTCAGGTATTTTGTTAGAGCAACACAAATGGTCTAAGAGACTCTCACACCTCCAATTTAATTCATTGATAAATCCCATAAAGCTCTATCTTCAGCATATATTCCTAACTGACTACTTCTTAACACTTCAAACTCCCTAACTGAAAGTTTGATCATCCGTCACTATACTACTGCAATGGGCTGCTAAACTAGTCTCCCTGTTTCTAACCATGCCTCTTTTACAAGTATCTGTAGCTATATGGTATCTAATAATCCTTATAAAACATAAATAAAATCATGTCAAAATTTTGTTGACAGACATTCCTTGGCTTCCCATATCACTCAGAATGAAACCAAAACCCTAACCACAGCTTACAGGACCCTAAATTACCTCCTATGACCCTCCCCACAGATACTGTGATTTCATCTCCTATTATTCTCCCGAAAGTGCTGATGCAATAACAATGGATTCCTGGATATTCCTCAAGTATTCCAAGCACCTGCCTGCCTCTTAGCAATTATATTTTCTTCGACCTAGAAGGGAGTTTCTCAAAATGTCCACATGGCTTGCTCCAACACTTCTGTGCTCAAATGAGACCCTAGCTGAGAAGCCTTCACTAAAGATGAAGGTTCACTACAGATGAAGGCTTCTCAGCTATATAGGTATACAGAATGATAACTATAATCATTCTATATAAAATAAGGTACTACCCCCATCACTCTTATCCTTTCTTCAGAGCATTCATCACTAACTGATGTATATGATTCATTCATTGCTTTTTTCTCCTACCTTACAACGTAAGTTCCAATAAAGCAGAAACATTATCTGTTGTGTTCATTGCTATGTCTCAGTCTTAAGGTACTTTCTGGTACATGGTTGACACTAGCAAATATCTAGCAAGCCAGTGAATGACCCCTCTTAATTATGAGAATAAGTGTAGGAATAAACGGTGGTCCCAGAAAATGTTATACTAGGTTCTATTAATAGATGTGACTTAATGAGTCTGCTTCTCACTGAATTCCTATAGCATTCAAAGTTCTAGGGAATGGTTCAACTAATTTGAATCAGGAGATGGGAGGCCTTCAGTGAGGAAAACTACAAAGACTCCACCCTCTATTCCCCAAGATTTCAGGTTACAGAAACTAGCGAAATAGGCTGGGCTGACTCTGTACATTGTCTTTTGGTCCAAAAGAACAGCAAAGCTGCAGGAGATAACTCACCAGGAGGGCAATGGGCATCTGAGCTGGCAGACCAGACTCAACATGAAAGTCTATGTGGTTAGGAAGCCAGGCTGATTCTAAAGCCAGACCCTCCAGACTGTGTTGTTCTTTAGGGAGCAATGAATGCACAATGACTAAACAATGTCACTCTAACGTCACTGCCCCAGTATGAGGCACCATGTTCAGCGTCAGGGCTAGCAAAGAGGCATCTGGACCAGCTTCTGTTGAACTATGCAACACTAGCCTCTGGAAGAAGGAAATTCGGCTTTCAGTTTATTCTCTGCTTTGTGTTTGAAAGCAGAAAAAAACATTTTGGATTGAATAAAAAATATCAGAGTTCTCAGACAACTCAAGAGAATGGGGTAGGGTAGAAAGTGATGAACATGGTGACCAAACAATAGAATTCCTGCAAATAATGGCAAATCAAGTCTTCACATATTTTTTCATCAAAAGAAGTATGACTACATTTGCAGGCTGGGTTTGTGGAAATCAGATCAATTATATGAACATTTCACAAAATGTATTCCATGCACTATAAATAGAAATTACCTAAAAAGAATTTCCTTGGCTAAATAAAGGAGGAAAACATAGGCTTAAACAAATTTAAACAGCTATATTGACTGGAGGACTTTTCAGAGAGGTAATGGGATAGAGTACAGCATTTTCCAAATTTATGAGATTAGGGAAACCTTCTCTTTAGGGGAGATTTCATGAGACTAGCATTCTGGGAAGCACGCTTAAGAAATGCTGTCAAGTCTAAACTACATGGAATAAATGTATTTTGCAAGAAGTTTGATTAATGACTTGACTGAACACTAGTGTTTTGGGCCAGTGAGATGTACCAGAATTCATGCAAAATAATTTATTCAACAAAAAATATTTCATTTTAATTCTATACTTTTGAAAAAAATATTTTTAAACTCCTAAAGATGGGAAATTTGGACAGGAATGAGCTACTACATGTGGCAGGCATAAGTTATTCAATTTATAGAGTCCCTCATTTCATTTTCACAAGAACTTTATAAGATATGTATTGTTATCTCTACTTTTCATATGAAGGAAGCAAAAACTTGAGCTATTTCAGTGACTTACCCAAAAACTAAACTCATGGTAGAACTTCTTCTTCTCAGACTTTTGGTTAAGATCAAGTGTAAAAAACTAATGGAAGGGCCAGAGTTTGAACCCAGGTCATTCCCGTGCCAAAATCATAGGACTCATCCTTTCCTTCTTTTTTCCTTTCCTTCCTTTTTCTTTCCCCCTTTTCTTTCTTCCTACCTCCCTCCTTCCCACCATCCCACCTCCCTGTATCTCTCCTTCCCTCCC